TCCGTTATTGGCCTTGATGGTCCTTTCAAGAGTCCCCGGGAAGGTTCCTCCACGACGGGGCGTACCTGCTCGCCCGGGTTGGTTCTTTCCCGGCTCGCCGGGTTTGGGTTCCTGGTTCCCTGGCGGACGTTCCTTCTAGTTCCTTGCTTGCCTTGGTTTCGGTCGCTGTTTGCTCGGTGTCTGATCCCAGGGGTTTACCCACGGCTCCGCCTCTTCTTATGATTGGTCCAGTCCGTATCGGGCTGGTTCGATCTTCTCCTCGAGTCTTCCAGCCTGGTGCTTTTGACTAGTCTCTCACCATCTTTGGTGGTCAGGTGGCTTTGCTGATGGTGCCCCGCCTGCGTGCTTCGTCTCGGCAGCGGTATAGGGTTTTGCTGGCGGTCCTTTCTTTTCTTTGTCTTTTTGTACATATCCTGCGGTTTTTGTTGACATGGTCTTGTCCTTCTCTCGTGGGGGTTTAGGGCTGTCGGCTTGACGCATACTGTCGCCTTGTCTCATGCAGAGCTGGCGGAGCTGCGGTAGTTTGCTTTCGGTAATGCTATTCCTTCTGCTCCATTGCACAGGCTTTCTTGGGCATTGTTTGCCTCCGACCTGCTCATGCGCCGCCTGCACCGTCCTGGTCTTTGACCGGTGTACTCTCATTCTGTCTTCGCCTCTGTTTGTTGAGGCCCCTTCGGTTCAGGTTTGTTTTTCCGAAGTTCTTTCTTGTTCGTTTGCAGCAATCTCGTTCTTTTCTGGCGAGGAATGGGTCTGCTGCTTTCCAGAGGGGTCCTTGGGGATGTTGATTGGTTGGTCGGGCCACGGGTGCATCTTGTGTTGTCTGGTTGCGGCCCTCCGCCATTATTTGCGTGACACGGCTTCTGTGTCCGGGGACGCGCTTTGGCTTGATCCGGTTTCTCTTCTTTCCTGTTCGCGGGTACGGGTTTCTTAGATCGTCCACAGGGTTATTAAGTCTAGTTGGCCTGCGGTTTCTCCCTGTGCCCTTGACGTTCATAAGTTTGCTGCTCTTGTTACCAAAGACGGCAGCATGTCCTGGGCTGACATTCGGGCACAGGGTTTTTGGCGGTCGTATGGGGTCCTGGCTGCAGGCTACCTCGTTACCGTTCCTGGGCCTAGTCGAGCCTGTGTCACTTGGGTCGGCGGCTGCAGCCTGTCTCGACTTCGAGTTGAGGTGTGGAACACTGACCGCCTCCCTGGTACGTCCCCTTCTTTATTTTGTCTTTGGTGAAGTAGCTCTGGGAAGCCGTAGCGTCTCCCCCAAGAAAACCAGCGTTGATTGTAATGAAACGCCATTTTCTGGGCGAGTCTCGGAGGTTCCCAGCAACCCTCCCTCCCTCCCTTTGGTCAGTGGCTTTTTCGCAAAAATTTTGATATCCAGCCTAAGAACTGAAGGTGTAGATTGCTGGTGTGGGGGTCTGGGGCTCCCCCTTCCCCCTCCCAGGGAGGGGAAGCTGCGCAGGCATGCAACACAGCTCGTGTGACATCATGCTTGTTTGCTTGTTTTTAATTGGGGAGTTCTGTCCACTCATTTGTCTATTTTTGTTGTTTTTAAACAGAATAGGGGTTTGTTTTGTGGCGCTTACCTTTCTGGGTGCCTGTCCCAGTCGATGGCAGATATGGAATACTCCAAAATCACATGTGCATTCTGTGGGCCATTGCTCCCCGTGCCTCTCTGAGGGGGCCAGGTTCTGGCTCGTGATCCCGGGTAGGTCTAGAACTCCACCCACATCGACTGATGTCAAAGTTAGGGATATCCATATCAGCCTGGATAGCTCTGGGGAGCCTCCGGGACTCACCCAGAAAATGGCATTTCATTACATTCAACGCTGATTTTTTCTTAGTATTTATTTATCTTTGCTTGCCCATGGACAGTTGACTACAGAAACAATGGAGATACTTTAGCTCAGAAACAGGGTGCTGACCATAGTGAAGTGTTTCCTTGTGAGCCAGCCCATTGGATGTTCCCATTTTCACCCTTGTTGTCCCATGCTTCATGAGTGTGTTTGGATGAATTAGACTTAAAAGCGGGAGTTGCCAGTTCCTTTGACCCTGCTGTGATGGTGATGGAGCAATAACTAGTGGTTTTGGAACAAAACTACTAATTATAGCTTGCTAGGGGTGTGTGAGATGTGCGGTTCATTCCATTGTGATATAGTAAGCCATTTCTCTTGGTGATGGCTCCAGTTTAACATGCCACTATCTCCTTTCCTTAAATACACAACAGGAACACTTATAAAAAACCAGCGTTCAATGTAATGAAACGCCATTTTCTGGGTGAGTCCTGGAGGCTCCCCAGAGCTTACCCGGCTGATATACTAATGTCAGACTTGGGCATCAGTCATGTGTACGAAGTTCTTATGGGCCTACCGGGGACCACGAGCCAGAACCTGGCCCCCCTCAGAGAGGCAAGGGGAGCAATGGCCTATAGAAACCCCCGTGTGGTTGGAAGCATTCTATGTCTGCCATCGTCCGGGTTAGGCACCCAGAAAGGTAGGTGTCCCAAAACAAACCCCTATTCTGGTGAAAATTGCAACCAAATGCCGAACGAGTGGATAGAACGCCCCAAACAAAAACGAGCAAACTAGTATGACATCATTCGTCGTCGCGCCGCTGTCTGCACAGCCCCCCCTCCCCGGGAGAGGGAAGGGGAAGCCCCAGACCTACCACGCCGGCGATCCACACCCCAGTTCTGAGGCTGGATGTCAAAAACACACGAAAAACCGCCGACCGGAGGGAGGGAGGGATGCCGGGGAGCCTCCGGGACTCACCCAGAAAATGGTGTTTTATTATATTCAAAGCTGGTTTTCTGGGGGGAGCCCCTACGGCTCCCCGGAGCTAACTACCCACAGAGGAAAAGAATAGGGAATGACCTGGGAGGTGGTCACTGCACACTACACAATCCGAAGTCGAACGTGTACAAGGCAACGAACAGCCAAGGATCCCGTTCGACCGCCAAAATCCCCGTGCCCGAATGTCCTCCCAGGACACAGGACCAAAGACAGCGACAAGAGCATCGAACTTGCGAACGTCATGGGCACAGAGATAGACCGCAGGCAGGAGAGCTTAAAGAACTCCGCGGACGACCTGGGAGACCCGTACCCTCTAACAGGGAAGAAGGGAACCGGAACAACCCAAATCGTGTCCATGGACCCAGAAGCCGTGGTGTGCCAAGCACGGCAGAGAGCTGCAACCAGACAAAAACAAATGCACCCCCGGCCCAACCAACCAAGCATCAACAACCCATGGACCCCTCTGGAAAGCAGCAGTCTCATCCGTCTCCAGAAAAGAAGGAGAAGGCAGCAGACGACCAAACCGAACACCTCAACTGAAGGAACAGAAAACCTCAGCACAGGAGGAGAGCATGAAGCTCACCTACCTGACCCCCAGAGGCCAACGCCAACCGGAAAAGAGCCATCGAAAACAAACCGGAACCGAAAGGGCCACAAGAAAACGAGAAGAAAGAAAAGAGCACTCTGTCCAACTACCAGGACGGCTCAAGCGGCGCAAGAACAGGCCGGAGGTGAAACAAGCACAAGACAGCTTACGAACAGCGCAGAGGAAAATCCGAAAGCAAGCTGAAGCGGCTCCGCCAGCGCCCCGCCAGCGCCGCATAAACGAGGTGACAGAATGCGGCAAGTCGACGGCCCACAACCTCCAGCAGAAAAGCCAAGTCGACGCCAACAAACGCAGCCACCGAAGAAGGGACAGAAGGAAAAGGAAGGACCGCCAAAACACCCCATACTGCCGCCAAGAAGCACACAGATGGGACACCAACAACAAAGCCACCTGACCACCAACGGATGTGAAATCCCCGAGGCAGAATGTAATCAGCACTGCCAAGGGTCACCCGAGCCTAGGAAGAGGCGGAGCTGCAGGAAGATTTCGACACAAAGGGGGAAAAAACCAAAGGCAGAGCCCCCACCAGGTACACAAACAAAAAGAAAAAGAAAACCCCGCAAGAGGGCAGCATACCCAGGCGGAGCAGAGCCGGCCGCTATGATTGGTGAAGAGAAGCTGCACAGTACCCAGCGCCCCGCCAGTGCAAAACTGCCCCTTACCCTAAGGCGAACAAGGGAGACAGAACCCCCTATCATACAAAGGGCGGCCGAAAACCGAGCAGCAAACGGCCTAGCAGAAGCAGGACCCAAGGAACTTGTGGAAGGTAACCCCAAACCCCAAGGGCAGTACTTACAGGGCACCTAGGGAAGGGAATCCTAGGCACATGCAGCCCGAGTACCGGAGACTCACTCGCGGCTCACGCACCACCTTGAAGACAGACACCACACTCTAGGTACAGTGCTGAAACAACTATTGGAGCCGGAGCACACAACCGGTGCCTATTGCATCAGCTGAAGAACTTGGGTGTGGATCACCGGCACGGTAGGTCTGGGGCTCCCCCTTCCCCCTCCTGGGGAGGGGGCGACTGCACAGACAGCGGCGCGACGACGAATGACGTCATACTAGATTTCTCGTTTTTGTTTGGGGCGTTCTATCCACTCGTTCGGCTTTTGGTTGCAACTTTCACCAGAATAGGGGTTTGTTTTGGGACACCTACCTTTCTGGGTGCCTAACCCAGTCGATGGCAGACATAGAATGCTTCCAACCACACGGGGGTTTCTATAGGCCATTGCTCCCCTTGCTTCTCTGAGGGGGGCCAGGTTCTGGCTCGTGGTCCCCGGTAGGCCCATAAGAACTCCGTACACATGACTGATGCCAAAGTCTGACATTAGCATATCAGCCGGGTAAGCTCCGAGGAGCCGTAGGGGCTTCCCCCAGAAAGACCCATTATGATGGGAATAGAAGTCACCAAAGCTTGTAGAGTATTGCTAGTCCTGGCTGGATTATTGGAGGTGGCTGTGAAACCACCTGTGGGTCTGGTTCAGAAAGAAGTTTTTCACTATACACAACATCCTATTATCACCCAAATATTATTTGCAATATGGGGTTTAAAATGTCAGAAATGTACTAATCGAGATGTGCTACTACTGTACGTAACTTACATTACAGTTTGCAGTACAGGCCAATGTATCAGCTACCATAGTGCTGGGAGTCACATTAACAGCTACTGACCCCCTGTAAATCAAAGATTACAATGACTCAGCGACATGCACCAGTGTCTATATGTAGGGAACACCTATCATAATGGTGTTTAATCTGTTTTCCCATATTTTCCTTCAATATTTTTGTAGTGCAATCATTGAAAAGATGTTAATCATATTTTATAACAAGAAAAATGCTCAAAGAAATGCAACTGTATTTCAGCACACATTGCCATTTAATTCAGTTTTAAAACCTCAAAAACCAGCGTTGAATGTAATGAAACGCCATTTTCTGGGTGAGACCCAGAGACTCACCGGCATCCCTCCCTCCCTCCGGTTGGCGGTTTTTAGCGTTTTTGATGTCCAGCCTCAGAACTGATGGTGGATAGCCGGCGTGGGGGTCTAGGGCTCCCTCTTTCCCCTCCTGGGGCTGTGCAGACAGTGGTGCATCGACGTGTGTCGTCATACTCGTTTGCGAGTTTCTTTTTGGGGAGTTCTATCCACTTGTTTGGCTTTTGGTAGCAATTTTCACCAGAATAGGGGGTTTGTTTTGGGATGCTTACCTTTCTGGGTGCCTGACCCGGTCGATGGCAGACACAGAATGCTTCCAACCACACAGGGGTTTCTATAGGCCATTGCTCCCCATGCCTCTCTGAGGGGGGCCAGGTTCTGGCTCATCGTCCCCAGTAGGCCCCATATAACTCCATACACATGACTGATGCCAAAGTCTGACATAAGCATATCAGCCTGGATAAGCTCCGGGGAGCCTCCGGGTCTCACCTAAAAAATGGCATTTCATTACATTCAACACTGATTTTTTGCATGATGGCATTTAAGGTTTTAGAACTGAATTTATTTTCAACCTCATACATAAATAAGATCATACATGCGTGTGTGAGCTGTGAAGTAGTACTGGCTGGGCAATGCTGTCGCGAGGTATCCACTATCAAAGATGACACCCATGGAACCATTAACGTCACGACACCTGTACGATTTGAGATCAGAGTGACGATAGTTACCTAAAGCAAATTATTACACTTCTATTCTATTAGATGTGGATTTAGGCCTGGGATAAGGGTACCAAAACTGATTAAATTTTCAGTGCCATATTTTCCCCAGAATATGATCACAATTACTGTTGGGTACATGATGGAGAATGAAAGAAAAGCATGTGTGTGCCCAATCATCTCTCCCTACCCGGGGTTTGAACCCAAGCTTGTTCCATTAAGAAATTTCTCTCTGTAGCACATTCTCTCGAGCATTCACAACATCCGTAAAATGATGTACAATGTTACCCAAACCCATGAATAGAAAATGGGACGTCACGTCAATTTCACAAGCCGCTATGATTTTCCGCACATCCACTTTTTTTTTATCTTATGGGATTTATATGTCAAAATGTGAAGTATTATTTGAGAGGATGGATTGCTTCCTCTAACCACTCCATCATAGTTCATCATATATTGCCCTCTTGAACTTATGTTTATGTACTATCTTTAAAGTCAACAAATAAAATTATAATTATATTTTTGTAAATTTTTAAATTGACCAACAAATACAGGTACACACTGTAAGTAATTAAATCTTGAGTCAAAAACTGTCAGTGTCCCCAGCAACCCACACCTCTTACTCAGCAACCCACACCTCTTACTCAGCACCCTACACCTCTTACTCAGCACCCTACACCTCTTACTCAGCAACCCACACCTCTTACTCAGCACCCACACCTCTTACTCAGCAACCCACACCTCTTACTCAGCAACCCACACCTCTTACTCAGCACCCTACACCTCTTACTCAGCACCCTACACCTCTTACTCAGCAACCCACACCTCTTACTCAGCACCCACACCTCTTACTCAGCAACCCACACCTCTTACTCAGCAACCCACACCTCTTACTCAGCACCCTACACCTCTTACTCAGCAACCCACACCTCTTACTCAGCACCCACACCTCTTAGCACCCTACACCTCTTACTCAGCACCCTACATCTCTTACTCAGCACCCACACCTCTTACTCAGCAACCCACACCTCTTAGCACCCTACACCTCTTACTCAGCAACCCACATCTCTTACTCAGCACCCACATCTCTTACTCAGCACCCACACCTCTTACTCAGCACCCTACACCTCTTACTCAGCAACCCACATCTCTTACTCAGCACCCACACCTCTTACTCAGCAACCCACACCTCTTACTCAGCACCCCACACCTCTTACTCAGCACCCCACACCTCTTACTCAGCACCCTACATCTCTTACTCGGCACCCCATACCTCTCTCCCAGCCTCCCCACACATGCCCTTCCTACAAACAGCTACAATGCTCATACCCTCCCTCACCCAACCCCACCACCCACATCCATACCACGCCCGACTCTGGTGACCTACTGTAAAACAGCCGAGACGATGCCGTGGGTCGCAACGCTCGAGGTGAACTGGAAGCAATAGTCTTCAGTGTGCGACCTAGTCCACCCTGCTGGGCACACAACTGTAAAGACATGCACGTTAGAAACAACTTTCTTAGACATTGGAAAGACTCTGGTCAGTGCCAGGAGTGAACAAATAGAATGCACTATGAAGTGTAAGTGGTGGAGGCTGACTCTATACACTACTTTAAATGTAGAGCTCATTATGCTCTGGAATATATATATACCAGTCAATTAAGGGTTGTAGTTGGGACCTTAAGAGCCATGCCTCATCCTCCACAAATATAACAAAGTGAGTACATCTTACATTTATGTCTTGGTGAAACTTGGGAGTCCTCATTAAATATTATATATATATATATAATGATTTTATCTCTTCCTAGTGTTGATGAATCAAATAAAATTTTTAATAGTTTAATACAAACAAATAATGAAAAGTAAAAAATAATAACAACGAGCTACTGTACTACATTTAAATGAGCATATAATGAAAAATAATATAATTACAAATATATTCACGATGAAATTTCTATGTTTTAAAACAATCCTACAATGACAGATGAATGGGTAAGAAGTACTATACTGCCTTCTGTATATAATTAACTTATCTTAACTTTATAAAGTTAAGATACTTAAGTATCCTAAGTAGTTCAGATACTAATTTACAATAAAATATGTCATTGAGTGTAGAGAAAATGTTCCTTTCTGAGGAAGCAACTCAAGTCATTCCCTTAGGCAAGAGTCCCGTTCCAATAGGAATTAACGAACTCCAGCCCGAGTCAAAATGGCCTTCATCTTATCTATGCTAATTACCCCTGCACAAGGGGATAGTTAGAGTATTCTCCATTGGCACTGGAGAATTCTCAATTCCATAATGAGTGACCTCAAAAGGTATATCCATCTACACTGTACTTAAGACATCAACTTCCAGCAATTCTTAAATATGAAAGAAATAACTAAGTAGGGCCTTGCTACTGCAATATACCAGTTGCTAGTTGAGATTGGTCACTATCCATATCCAGCACCACATTGGTGGTAGATATGTGTAAACACAGTGCCTGGGGATCCCACCTCATTCCCAAGACAACACAATGCAGTAAAGGGAGGGCGGATGGTGAACAACTGGGCAGGATGACACACTGGCACTGGTGTTGTAAGTTCCATGAGCAACACAAGAGGTGCTAGAAGACCACTGGAGAATATACTAATTCAATCTAGCTCAAAAATTATTAAGAGGTCAATTCATAAAAATTTCACAGCCATTTTGAGCCCTCTCTTTGTATTACTGCTGATCATCAAATGATCTTACTAACTACCAGTTGGCTTGTCCAGCTAGCCTCGTCGATAACCACAAGGCAGCAGAAGAAAATGTTAAGTCTTAGGAGGTCACACTGACTAGCATCTTACCAAAATTGTTAGTAGAGAGGTGATATGTTACCAGAGTGCTTCACCATGACAACCAAGAACTGGGATGCTAGGTATTGAGCGGTAGGTGAGCAGACCTGCAGCTAAATGGCACCTAACACAGGTTTACACCTGGCTGCATCACACACCTGCCAAGCACTTGGCTACATAGCAAGAATGCAAACAGATCCATGTCTATTATGCACCCAGTTGCTTCACTACATGTCAAGCATTGAAATTCAAAACAAGTCTCCACGAACCCCCCCCCCCCCTCGCCAACCTGAGACTTTAACGAGTCTTGTATGTCTTTTGGTGTCCAAGGTCTAACTGCCAATCACAAGGATACAAAACAAGGTCTCAGACGACCTAAAATGGGTACAAGGGTGGCCAAGAGCAGCACCCCACAATTTTGTACTGAGATGAGAAACAACATTTTCTAAGACCTATGAAAGGTGTAAGTGTGGCCTTCAATGCCAGGAAACTCATCCTGGTGGACTTCCATTCTGCACCAAGCAAAGATGTGCATAATACACAGGTTTTGTGTACATACAAACCCAGGTAGTAAACCAGGGTCTAGAAGACCCTTAACAGGCCATTTGGTCTGCTGTCCATGAGTGAAATTTCAAAGCCAAACCCTACCTCGATATCACAGGCCCAACTGTCAGGATAAACAGAGAAATAGCATGCAGCCAACCTGTGGCCTTCTCAATCCGAGTCACGTTCCCTACATAACAGTCGAGCAATAGCTGACTGTACCCAGTGCACCAGCAAAGAATTGACTAAAACCCTTGCCCAGGAAATAAGGATTTATGTCTGAGGTGGTAAACGCTCATTGAGCCCTGAACTGAAAGCTCAGGCTGGTAACAAATGAACTATAAAGACCTTTTAACAAAGTCTACAAATTTTCACGCAGAAGCTGAACTGCGCAAATGGGGAAAACAAAATAAAAAAATTAAAGTCATACTTACCTGGAAATCCAGTTCCCACCTGCAATTTGACATTGAATACAGTCAGAGGTTTTAAATTTTGTGACTGAAAGGCATGTTTTGTGGTGCTCTCTGCTGGCAGTCAGGTGAGGAGGTCAAGTAGGCCAATCAGTTACTACCAGTGTTCCCAAAGTGGTCACCAGTATTGTCAAGAGGGGTCTTTGATTTTATGAATAAGCCTATATCAGTCATATCTGAACTAGAGATAATGCCCTTGAGCTTTCTTTAACTCTGTATGGACAGTTTGAAAAGATCTCTATGATACTGGCGTAGTAGTTCATCCTGCATTAAGTACTTGTGTTCCTGCCCAATGGACACAGCAAAGTGTATGGATACCATAGACAAATGTATACCTTAGAAAAAACCTTAGGTAATGTGTTCTTATTTAGTATGTTCCCTTATTATCCATCTTTAATGCATTGTCGACTTGAGTTCTAAGACTACGTAATTTGCCGAGTAGAAACTCTACTCACCCGTGCAGGGAAGGGTCAGGGTATCATTCCACGATGGCATTTCTCCCGTCTGACCAGCTTTACACTCAACAGTTCCTCTGACTGAGCGTTCACCACCTTCTACACCCTCCATCGTAAACTGGCGGATGCAAGTGTAGTTCACCACTGCTCCCGGGGCACGGCTCACCGTCATATTCACCTCAGTAGTTGTCCACCTTGGATCGCCTTCTATCAATGCCTGACACGAATTTTCTGCAAAAGTGACAAATGAAGACCTAACTGCATGATATGAGAGTAATTTTTTACGACCATTTGTATTAGGAAAATAGTGAATAGAATTATTATGTCCATGGTATAATGTGTATTAAAGTGAACACAAATCTGACAATTCATACATTAAAAAACCAGCATTGAATGTAATGAAATATTTTCTAGGCAAGACCCAGAGGCTCCCTGAAGCTATCCGAACTGATATGTGTTATATTAGTTTGGGGTCATCAGTCACAGGAGTCCTTATTCCTACCGGAAACCACATTCCCAGATTTTGGCTCGTGATAACTTCATCCAAAGTACTATACCTGAAGTCATATTTATCATCAGGCTATACCGATCATGGGGGCCAAAGCTATATGGCCAACTGAGTCCTGCCATGTAAAGAAGCCACAGTAGTCGTGCTTACCACTATCATAGTCTTGTGGTCGTAGCCATAATGTAACCTTGTCGATGGTGTAACCAGCCAGAGGACCCCACTGAATCGTGCTCCCAGTCAGGTTTGCCTGCAACAGACACATGCAAGAGCAGTGGTCATCAATTATAGTGATAACTTATTTATAGAAGCAGTAATAGGAAGTGGTGGTTGTAGTGATAGAGAAGACTAATCTCCCCACCAAAATATTAACTGTATCTCACAGACTCATCTCCCTGCCAGAACACCCATTTCACCCCACCACAATATTCACCTACCACCCAGAATACAGTACTCACTTCTCCCCACCACAAAACCCATCTCCCTGCTATAATAATCATCATCCTGCCATAACACTTCTCTCCACCATAATGCTCACCTCTCCAACCACAGAACTCATTCCACTACCCATATGACTCTGTGCACCCCAATACTCACCGTTTCTCCCCACCAGCACGTATTGTCCGCTTTCTTGATGAACGCCTGCCCTCCGTTCAGCATCAGACCATCCCCTGAGGTGTAACAAGTATACTGAATATAACTGGTAGGTTTGCAATGGTACGCATTCATGTAGTACCTCCTGCCTGACTAATAACATGGTGCTACGGTGATGAGGCAGTGTTTATGTTGGGAACCTGGAGAACACCTTCAATACACCTGACATAGTCCTAGATTATACTTGAAGTAGTGAAGTAAACCTGGATCATGTCTTAGAGTAAACCTTGAGAAGACCTAGAGTAGCTGTAGTATACCTGGAGTATTAGAAGAATACGTGGCTAAGCTCACTTACCCAAATATATGGCAAGGACCACCTGCCAGATAAGCCACACTTGAAGATTAGCAAATTTTTTACAGGGAAAGTAAAAAAAGAACGTATTCCCAATATTTTGTGTCACAACTAACATAATTTGAATTTCCACACACACACACACACACACACACACACACTATACACAGTACCACACCAGAGTACCACACACAATACCACACCAGAGACTAGTGCAAAATCTGGAGATGCAGGCAAGAGTGAAAAGGAAGGTACTCCATTGGATAAGGAAGTACCTAAGTAACAGAAGACAGCGAGACACTGTGAGGGGTGAAGTCTCAGATTGGCAAGACGTCACCAGTGGAGTCCTGCAGGGTTCAGTCCTTCGACCCATACTGTTCCCGATATATGTAAATGATTTACCAGAGGGAATAGAATCATTCCTCTCCTTGTTTGCTGATAATGCAAAAATTATGAGGAGGATTAAGACGGAGAAAAATAGTATGAGGCTACAAGATGACCTAGACAGACTGACTGAATGGTCCAACAAATGGCTAATAAAGTTCAACTCGAGTAAATGTAAGGTAATGAAACTGGACAGTGGAAACAGGAGGCCAGACACAGGATATAGAATGGGAGATGAAATCCTTCATGAAACGGACAGAGAGAAAGATCTAGGAGTTGATATCACACCAAACCTATGCAGGCGATGAGTCACAATAACGTGGCTAAAGTATGTTGACCAGACCACACACTAGAAGGTGAAGGGACGACGACGTTTCGGTCCGTCCTGGACCATTCTCAAGTCGATTGTGAGAACCACAATCAACTTGAGAATGGTCTAGGACGGACCGAAACATCGTCGTCCCTTCACCTTCTAGTGTGTGGTCTGGTCAACACACCAAACCTATCTCCTGAAGCCCACATCAAAAGAATAACATCTGCAGCATATGCAAGGCTTGCTAACATCAGAACTGCCTTCAGGAACCTGTGCAAGGAATCATTTAGAACTTTGTATACCGCATATGTAAGACCATTCCTGGAGTATGCAGACCCAGCATTGAGCCCGTACCTTGTCAAGCACAAGACGAGGCTTGAAAAAGTTCAAAGGTATGCCATTAGGCTAGTCCCAGAACAAAGAGGCATGAGTTACGAGAACAGGCTGCGGGAAATGCAATTCACGACACTGGAAGACAGAAGAGTAAGGGTAAGACATGATCACTACCTACAAAATTTTCAGAGGAATTGAAAGGGTAGATAAATATAAACTGTTTAACACGGGTGGTACACAAACAAGGGGACACAGGTGGAAACTGAGTACCCAAATGGGCCACAGGGACATTAGAAAGAACTTTTTCAGTGTCACAGTAGTTAACAGGTCAGGTGGAATGCATTAGGCGGTGATGTGGTAGAGGCTGACTCCATACACAGTTTACAATGAAGATATGATAGAGCCCAGTAGGCTCAGGAATCTATACAGCAGTTGATTGACAGTTGAGAGGCGGGACCAAAGAGCCAGAGCTCAACCCCCGCAAGCACAACTAGGTGAGTACTATAATTTTAAAATGTACCAGTACAGTACTGTAATTTGAAATGGAAACTTCAGCTTACCTTGTTGTAGTTCTTCTTGAGTGATGCTGCATGCAGTACTGTACAGTATTGTGCTTCTTCAAATCAATACTTCTTTAAAATGTAAATAACTTAACATAACACTAAAATTACTATATGGTACATGAGCTTGGCAACGTTAGTTTTGACTGCCAGCTGCTGAAGCTTTACTGGTTAAAGACTCTTGGCCTTCTGGTAAGGCTCCACTGATTGAAGCTTGCCTCCTGTGTTCATAGGTCTTTTCTTATGATCAGCTGTTTGCTTTGCCTCAAGTAGTGATACACATTTCCAACTTCTAGATCAGTACACTTAGAAAAAATATTAATTAACATGTCAACAGAAAATACGTGTAAACTGTTTTTGGTTGTCTGTGGTGGTGTTAGCACAACCTACTTCCTCTTAACACCTCCAGGACGACTGCTACTGCTACCAGACATAGTCTTGGCAAAAATTATCAAAGTTACTATGAAAATAAAAAGTTACTAAAGAAAATGTTTCACTAACCTCTGCACTCCTCACCCATTTTCGGCAAAAACGTCTTGGTGCAATTCTCAAGGACATATTTTTGTTGTTTTTATAATTGTTCAGGTAAAGTTAATGTCAAAATGTTTCCAAAGTCAACTATTTCCATTTCAAAACACAAAGAGTATGAAAACATTACAAAACATTAAAATATAGCCTAATTAAAAAAAAAAAAGCACAACTCTCAGAGCGCCTAAAGGCACTTTGCGCAGTGCACTGGCTAATGGGGAAGCACTGTGGTATAACACGAGGGGTTGAGAATACATGGCCTGGAGGGGTCCACTTGGGGCAGGCAGGCACATTACATAGGGCCCCTCAAGTGGAAAAAAACCAGCGTTGAATGTAATGAAATGCCATTTTCAGGGTGTGACCCAGAGGCTCCCCAGAGCTTACTAGGCTGATATGCTAATGTCAGACTTTGGCATCAGTCATGTGTATAGAGTTCTGTGGGCCTACCGAGGACCTCGAGCCAGAACCTGGCCCCCTCAGAGAGGCATGGGGAGCAATGGCCTATAGAAACCCCCGTGTGGTTGCAAACATTCTATTCTGTCATCGACCGGGTCTGGCACCCAGAAAGGTAAACATCCCAAAACAAACCTCTATTCTGGTGAAAATATTGCTACCAAAAGCCGAACAAGTGGATAGAACTCCCCTAAAAGAAGCGAGCAAACGAGCATGAAGTCACACGTCGCCACGCCGCTGTCTGCGCAGCTCCCACCTCCCCGGGAGGGGGAAGGGAGAGCCCCAGACCCCCCATGCCGGCTATCCACCCATCAGTTCTGAGGCTGGATGTCAAAACACAGGAAAAACCACCGACCAGAGGGAGGGAGGGATGCCGGGGAGCCTCTGGGTCACACCCAGAAAATGGGGTTTCATTACATTCAATGCTGGTTTCTGGGGGGAGCCCCGTTGGCTCCCCAGAGCTAACTACCCGCAGAGGAAAACAATAGGGACTTACCCGGGAGGCGGTCACTGCTCACTCCTCAACTCGAAGTCAAGACAACTGGCTGCAACCGCTGACCCAAAGCGACACAGGCCTGACTGAGCCCAGAAACGTTCACGAGGGAATGAGCAGCCAGGACCCTGTTCGACCACCAAATGTCCCACGCCCGAACATCAGCCCAGGACATGTTGCCAAAGATGGCAGCAGGAGTAGCGAACTTACGAACGTCATGGGCACTGGGATAGACCACAGGCTGGCTAGCCTTAATAACTATGCGGACAACCTGGGAGACCCGCACCCACGAACAGGAAAGAAGGGAAACCGGATCAACACAAAGCGCGTCCCGGACACAGAAGCCGTTGCACGCAAATAACGACGAAGGGCCACAACCGGACACAAAATATGATGCACCCCCTGCCTAACCAACCAAGCATCAACAACCCAGACAGCCCTCCGGAAAACAGCAGTCTTATTCTTTGCCAGAAAAGGAGACGGCTGCAGACACACAAAACCATCACGAAGACCGAAAGAGCAGAAACCGCTGCGCCGGATGAGAGCATGAAGCTCACAACCCGACCCCCAGAGGCCAATGCCAACAGAAAAAGAGCCTTGGAGAAACAATCCTGAACCGAACGGGATACCAAACTAACAGAGGAGAAGAAAGAAAAGAGAGCACTCTGTTCAACGACCAGGATGGCTCAAGCAGCACATGAGCAGGCCGGAGGTGAAACAACGCACGAGACAGCTTGCAAAATGGCAACCATCAATACCAAACCAAGTAACATCAATACCGAAAGCAAGTAACATCTATACCGAAAGCAAGCTGAAGCGGCTCGCCAGCGCCGCACGACAAGAGGCAACAGTGTTAGGCATAAGATGATGGTCCTGAAACAACCAAGAGAGAAAGGACAACACGACCCGAACAGAAAGTGAAGGACAACGGCGAAGACGTAAAAAGAACTGGAAGGACCACCAGGAAACTTCATACTGCCGCCAAGACAAAGCCTGCAGGTAGGACACTAACAAGGAAGCCACCTGATCCCCATAAAGATGATGATAAACTCGAGTCACGCAGATTGGGAGACGTCGAGACCACGCCAACGTGAAGAGGTCCACATTCGGGAGTCTGTACGTCAGGCAGAGAAAATGGAAGGAGTCGGCGTCAACCCTCTATTCCGTGGACAGAGGAATGAACCAAGACAGGCCGTCTGCCAGGACGTTGGACACTCCCCAGATATGAACCGCACGGAGCACCAAACCCTGAGAAGCCAGCAGACAAACCACTCGAAGTGACCAACCCCAAAGAGGCAAGGATCAACGGGAACCCCTGCGGTTCAGGCAATGAACCACTGAAGAACAGCCCGAATAGAGCCAGAGGTTATCTTGAGATAATTTTGGGGCTCAGTGTCCCCGCGGCCCGGTGCTCGACCAGGCCTCCAGCACCAGGAAGCAGCCCGTAGCAGCTGTCTAACTCCCAGATATTTACTGCTAGGTAACAAGGGCATCAGGGTAAAAGAAATTTTGCCCATTTGTCTCCGCCTTCACCGGGGATCGAACCCGGAACCTCAGGACTACGAATCTGAAGCGCTGTCCACCCAGCTGTCAGGCGCCCCCAGGCACCCCGTCAGGATCGAACCCCGAGCAACCCGTACTCTCTGAAGCGAAAGCCAAACCACCAGTACCAGTGTACAGGGAACAGTACCAAGGTACAGGTTAAGCACAGTACCCTGTGTTTGCTAAGTGCTAAGCACAGTGCTAAGAGTGATAAGAAGTAAGATCACAAAACACATGGAATCACAGTGTCTGCATAACCCTGGGCAACATGGGTTCAAAACAGGGTACTCTTGTTGACCAGACCACACACTATAAAGTGAAGGGACGACGACGTTTCGGTCTGTCCTGGACCATTCTCAAGTCGATTGTTGACTTGAGAATGGTCCAGGATGGACCGAAACGTCGTCATCCCTTCACTTTCTAGTGTGTGGTCTGGTCAACATACTTCAGCCACGTTATTGTGACTCATCGCCTGCATAAGGGTACTCTTGCTTCTCAACTGCTAAATCACCATGACATGGCCTTAGATGCAATGGAAGGCAGACAAAATGCTGATGAAATACACATATTTTGAAAAAGCTTTGGACAAATGTGACCATGGTGTTATTGCACACAAAATGTGCACAAAAGGAATTACTGGCAAAGTAGGAACATGGATCTTGAACTTCCTAACAAACAGAACCCAGAGTATAATGGTCAACAAAGTAAAACCCGAATCATCCACCGTGGAAAGCTAATTCCCCCAGGTACCATACTTGCTCCGGTACTATTCCTCATCTTCATATCGGACATAGACAAGGATACAAACTACAGTACTGTATCATCCTTTGCAGATGACACTAGAATTTTCACAAGACTAGACAATATAGAGGACACAGCAGACCTCCAATCCAAACAGAACTTTTCACAACAGATGTGACCTTTGAGCATGAAGCACTCTCAAGAAGATAGCCTCAAGGAGCCACTGGGAGACTCCCTCCAGAAAGGCCCTACAATGTCAGGCTTTTCCCCTCAGTCCTGGTTCTAAGGCATCTACTAGCATCACATTGTACTTACTATTGGGGAGAAACTTTTTTCAAGGGCTAACCTGCATTGCCATGGAAATCTTCAGTACTGTTGAGGACGATATTCCCTGCAGAGTTGTAGGTCGCGACCACACTGAAGTAGGTGGCATGATAGATGATTCCTCCACTCTCCTCCAGAAGTACCTGCAAGGCAGCCATGGAGAGAAGAGGAGAATGAACAAGGGGCAGGGTAATGGATGGCCAATGTGGGAGAATTGTGGAGAGAGAAGAACGAGGCAAAGAAAGAAAGAACATAGAACATAAGAATACAGTAATTAAACAAAAGAAAGAGAAAGGAAGAAGAGAGAGACAATAACACAGGAAAGAGAATGAGAATTATTAATTTACAGATTGTCTGGCAGCAAAACATTAATGCATGGCCTGACGTGCTTTGTGACATCACTTGGGTTAAACTACAAGCTTATTTTCCTGTGTCCATGTCTGCAAAACATTAATGCATGGCCTGACGTGCTTTGTGACATCACTTGGGTTAAACTACAAGCTTATTTTCCTGTGTCCATGTCTGCAAAACATTAATGCATGGCCTGACGTGCTTTGTGACATCACTTGGGTTAAACTACAAGCTTATTTTCCTGTGTCCATGTCTGTTTTACCTCTGATGATCACCAACATATACACAGTAGTTGAAAGATGCAACAAACTTCAGAAGGAGTGTGTAAGGTAAAGGAAATTATCAGTAGAAAGCACTAAGTGTAATGACTGATATCTGGCGTGTAAAGTCTAGCTTTTGTTATTAATCTAAATGTTTTCTCTTAGTTAAAATATTTTTGTTTTATTTCTTAGTGTTCTTAAATATGTTGAATACTGAATTAGAAAATCCTTTAATCTTGTGTGTGTAAAATTTTCCCATGGATTTCCATGAGACTAATGTCCCTACTCTTCACGAGGACCTGCAGAGACAGGCTCAGAGTGTGTGTTGGGTGCGCTGTGAGGCACCCAACGTCACTGTGTGAGGGTGTTTACCCTGATTTTTTAAGTGTGACTCGAGTACTGTATTCAATCTGATTAGTGAAATTATTCCCTCTTGTATAGTATCCTATTCCCAGTGTCTTTTAATAAATGTAATGCACGAACTTCGTTTGCTAATGTCCCACCAATTCAAAATATGGTGCCAGGTCCGAGTGTTTACTCTCATATTTGAGACATTTCTTTATAATAAACACCTGTTCTATATTTCTGATTTAAAGTAACGTACATATACTGTACTGCAAGTAAGGGAGTAAAGGACGGGTTTCAATAGCTTGTACTCCAGGGCATGGCTTAGACGCTCATGCTCTTTACATAAGCCAGTATGACTATGTACTGTGTATCAAAGCCATCAATAATTTATGTTTAAGTATGTAGTGGAAGTCAGGCACTATGAGTACAGCTCTCTTCCTGTAACTACAACTATGCAATTAGTTTCACACACATACTGTATATGTAGTGTATATATATACTATATGTGTAATTACCTAAGTGTAATTTGAGGAGTAGAGGAAGGCTTGTGGTGACACCACCAGCATAATTTGGGTCTTGCAGGAGATACGTTCACAGCATCTCCTGAGCTGCCGAAGGAGGGACCTGAGAGAAAGGAACTCTCTAGAACAATGATCCCGACAGGCCCAAAGGCACTCGGAACTGAACCCTGGGAGAGCTGCAACAAAATCATTCTCTTACATAGACGAGGGAGGATATAAAAATCCCTCTCATTGGAAAAGTTCCTCCTTGGAGGGAGTAATGTACCACTTACAATCAAATGGGACCCATGGGCCCATTTCAGACTCCACCCAAGCCCCCAAAGCTGCACTCATGGGCCCCAGGCCAGAGCCAGTGTCTGCGCCCACCACCCAAGATAGAAAAGCGAAGTCCAGGGGAGAAGATTCAAAAGAAGAGGGAGGCTGGCAGAAGGGAAAATCCTTGGCAGGATTAGCTGGCTCAATTGCCTCCATGCACGATCTGAACAGGAAACCTCCAGAGTAGGCCAAGCCATATCCGGAGCTAGACCCTAACTGTTGACTACCTATTGATTCCGAGATCAACGTCCCTGCGGCCCGTTCTCTGGCCAGGCCTCCTGGTTGCTGGTCTGTTTGATGCAGCTGCTTACAGCCTGACGTACGAGTCACAGCCTGGATGATCACGTATCATTTGAAAGTTCTTGTCGAGTTCTCTGTTGAGCACTGATAGGTCGGCCAGTTATGCCCCCATATGTGTAGGGAAGAGTTGGAAAGTCTTGGGCCTTTGATGTAGATCGAGTTCTCTCTCAGCATGCCTATTGCACCTCTGCTTTTCAGTGGGACTATTTTGCACATCCTACTTTGCCTTTTGGTTTCATGTGGTGTTATTTTTGCATGCAGATTTGACATCAGGCCTAATATTTTGCAAGTGTAAATTATGTCTCTCCTGCCTGCACTCTAGGGAATACAGATTTAAAAATTTTAAGTGGTCCCAATAATTTAGATGTTTTACCGAGTGGATTCTAGCAGTAAAAGATCTTTGCATGCTCTACAGGTCAGCAATTTCTCCAGCTTTGAATAGGGCAGTTAGTGTGCAACAATATTCCACTTTAGGGAGCACTAATGTCTTAAAAAGTACCATCTTTTGTTTGGCATCTCTTGTTTGAAAGGTTCTTGTTATCCAACTTGTCAATTTTTTTTCAGTTGTGACAGCAAATTTGTTGTGTTGTTTAAAAGTAAGGTCTTTTGACATGATTGCTCCTAAATATTTTATTTTGCTTTCTCTTTCTATAGTATGGTTTGATTGTTTTATATGTGGTTTCTGCTTTCATGCTTTGTTTTTTCCATAGAGCAGTAATTGAAATTTATCCTCATTAAAAACTATGCTATTTTCTATCGCCCATTAAAGGACTTCATTAACATCAGATTGGAGGTTTGCTTTGTCCTCTATATTGTCTACTCATGAAAATTCTAGTGTCATCTGCAAAGAATGGTACAGTACTGTATTATAGTTTGTATCCTTGTCTATGTCTGATATGAGGATGAGGAAAAGTACCAGAGCAAGCATGGTACGTCGGAGACTAAGATTTTCACAGTGGATGATTCAGATTTTACTTTGTTGACTAGGTATTACACTCTGGGTTCTGTTTGTTAGGAAGTTAAAGATCCATCTCCCTACTTTGCCAGTACTGTACTGTAATTCCTTTTGCGTGCATTGTGTGTGCAATAACACCACGGTCACATTTGTTGAAAGCTTTTGTAAAATCTGTGTATATTACATCAGCATTTTGTTTGTCTTCCAAGGCACCTAAGGCCATGTCATAGTGGTCAAGCAATTGTGAGAGGCAGGAGCACCTTGTTCTGAACCTGTATTGTCCTACCGTGACCTGGAAACCCTCAGGCATTTTCGGGCTGAAGAAGGGTAAACCATGTCCAAAAGGAAAGGAAGAGCAGGCGTGGATAGAGCCAAGGTGGAGTTCACTAACACGTCCAATTCTGGGTCACTAAACACCAGACGGAGCAGATCTGATGCATTCAACTGGCAACACAACCTAGATTGCTGCAAATGTGCAAAACGAATTCAGAAAGCGGATGCCACCTCATGCACCTTAACCTCATCAAGAGGGTCACATGGGGAGAGCAAACCCCACAGGACTTAGGTATGAAGATGTCACTGACCCAACAGGCAGCATGACGGAGGCAGAACAAGTGAATAATCGTCATTGAGTGGCACAGAGGATGAGCAACCCGACAAGAGGTAAGCCGACAGAGACTGGGCTACACAGTTTTAAAGGCCAACCTCAGCGCACTGAAGGAAAGTCTGCGAATTACCAATGTGCCCTGCCAGCTAAAGTCGCACTCGACCCAGGTTAAGACAGAAAGCACATGACCCCCAATTCACACTAGGCGGGGGCCACCACATATGAGGAGGACCTTTAAAGGAGCGACTCCTGAACACCCCCAGAGAATGATGACCAAACCACAAATCAGATGAAGAAACAACGATGTTTTGGTCCATCCCGGACCATTATCAAGTTGTGTGCTGCTAGCCCCAGAGAAGATAACTCTTGCAGTGCAAGGGCAGGGCTGGGGGACACACAGGGAAGGTAACCCTGAGTTCCAAGCATTCTACAACCCAGGTTCATGCTGGACTGCAGTGTACAATAAAAGTCACTAAGGTAAAAACCCAAAATACTTAGCTGAAACAGAGGAGCCTGCACGAAAGAGAGATGATCAGGAACCATTACATCAGTGAAGATGTAATGGCTCCTACACCTCAGACCCCTGGAGGTTGCGAGCCCTATCCCCTCTTCCTTCAAATGCGTGGGGAAGGTGCGGGGAATGAGCGCATGCTAGTTTCGAGATGTATGATTGACTGTTTACATAGTTCAGGAGAGTTCATTAGGTTGGTTTCAAGTCTTTGGTCTCTTTTGAACCCAGAAGGTTTGTTTTGATTTGATGACTTTCTGGATGCCTTTCCCGGTGAAGTAGCAAAATATAACCACTCCCTGCACCTCTATAAAGAGGCCAGGTTCTGGCTTTGATACCCAGTACACCTAAGAACTCCATGGCTGATGCAACCTGGTAGATGGAAACCATCTCAGTGTACAGCTTCAGGGATCCACAATGGGCAAACCCTCCCCTCAGAAAAGATGGTTGTCTCCCAGCTACGATGAGTCCAGAATGTCATAATGTATCCGAAATGGTGATGCTGACTTGAACTCAAAATGAAGCAGGGGGTCCATCATAGAAGAGAGGGCCAAATTCTACAGTTGGTACCGCAAAAAGTCCTCATGAGTGACAGAAGAGGAAACTCAGAAAGAGAAACCTCCAGAGGGATGAATCCACTGGACTTAACGACGCACATGGAAATGGACTCTGAGGGGAGCTACAGAAATATCAAACTCATGCCTATCAGGAGGATGAGAAAGCCCATCTACCATAAGCATACAACCCCCTTGTAGAAGGAACAGAAAACCATGAGGAATCAAAAGGTATCCAAGGGCCCAAATCAGGCTCCCACCAGCCCTGGTAGCCTGTCATGAAAGTTCTGGGGTAGAACCAAAGTCTTTGCCCAATGCCCCCCAAAGAGAAGGCACTGAGGAAGCATGCAGTTGTAAAGAGGAAAAGTCTGTAACCTTTACAGGAATAAAGGGCTCGATTGCCTCCAGGCTCGAGAAGGAAGGGGCTACCCACGGAACCAGCCGAGCTACACTCTGAGCTAAATCATGCCTCGACTCTGAAACCTTCAGATGTTTCGGAGCCGGAAGCAGGGAAGGGGAGGAACAGAAGCTGGGTATACCACACCTTCCAGAAATGGAAGAGGAGGCATAGGCAGAGCCAAGGTGGAGATCACTAACCCTCCATTTCTAGGTCCCTAAACACCATATGGGGCAGTTCCAGGGCATCCAGCCAAGCACAAAGCCCCAAATAATGAACCTGGGTAAACCAAGCCCATAAGGTGGCAGCAACCTGATTTGGCTCCATCTCAGAAGTAGAACCAGATGGGATCAGAACCCGTGGGGAACAAACCCTACAGGATTCAGGTTTGTAAAAATGACAGACCCAACAAGCAGCATGAAAAAGGCAGAAAAAATTATTATTTCCATATAGCAAAGGCAACAGACACCCTTCCAATCCACAATTGGTGAGAGCAGGCTAAACAGGCCATTCTTAATGCATAATTGACCTCATCAGAGACTTGAGAGTGAATTACTAGGGCCTGCTGGTAATAAGCCAGACAGATGCTCCCAGGCACTAAGAATGCTTGCCAAATGAATGTAAATAAAAAACAGCCAAACTGGCTAGGGCACTGGAAATGGTGATTGCAGTGTGCTATATAAACTAAGTGAGAGAGCCTCAAGTGCACCCCAACACAACCAACTTGAATGTCCCCCCGCTCCTTCCCCAACCAAGGTGTCAAGTGATCCTTGAAATACCCGAAGATGCTCCCCCCTGGTGACTTCGCTACAAAAAGGGGCAAACTAACAAACACACCTGAGAAGTTACTCTGTCAGTGCAAGAACAGCACTAAGCAAACACCCTGGGAAGTAATAGCTGGACGCATGCACTTTGATGGCCAAAATGCCAAGTCCACACAACACTGGATAGGAAATGATACACAAGTAAATGGGCCCCCCACAGGACAAGTCATATGATAGCCAGCACTTGGCTTAGAAGCATTGGGACTTGCCTGATGAGATAGTGACCATGGAGAACTACTGTGAGGTACTAAACGCTACATCAGCAACAGAACCAAGTGGCAAACTGGCATTGGACCGAACTCTAGGCCGTTCGGTGTTGGCAGTTGATACTAACAGTTTCTTACTAGTTTTGAGTGAATTACAATATTTGGTTTTGGTTTCATCATTTGGAGAGTTGTTTTGGCAGTTTCAAGGCATCGAGTCATGTGAATTTAGCAGTTGTCTGTAATACATCGCTGACCTGTTGGATGCTTTCCTGGTGAAATGGCAAACTGGCACTTGCTCTGAGCACCTCTGTGAAGGGTGTCAAGTTTTGGCTCTGGTCCCCAGTAAGCAAGCGTAACTTCCATGACTAATGTGACTTACAAGTATGGAGCAATCTCAATGAGCTAAGTACAAGAAGGTCAAGCACTGATCCTCACAAGGAAGCAGCACACACCAGTTGACTAACTCCTGGGTACCTATTTACAGGGAGTGAGTGAGTGAGAGAGAGAGAGAGAATGATGCATGTCCTATCTCCCTTACCTTAAGCACCAATGGACGACAGCCAATGCACCCATCTATACTCGTGCTCAGGTCCAGCACATGATTACTACCTGCAAATACAGTACATATAGATGAAATTGTAAATTGTGTATAAATAGGAAGAATGCAAGATTCACAATCACTACAAATAAACACCACTACAGGCAAGTCTCATTTAATAAGGGCTTTATTTGTGGGAGGGCTCCTATTGGCTGCGCCTATGTGCTGGCTGGCAAGTGGTGCATTGCGTTCTCTTCAAAACGTCTCTTCCATCTCTCATGTCACATTGACCTACTTTTAATTCTGTAAAATGGCTCAAGGATCATTTTGGTTGCAATTGACAAGAGGCAGAATACTTATATATTTTGAATTAAGTTGAATTATTCAAATTCAGGGAGATAGTCAAGTTGGCTATTTTCCAATATGGTAGGGTCAGACATCGTCGTGGAATATTTTAGTGCTTGGAGATGCAGGCTAGGGCTATGAGAATTCCGGATGTATGGAGGTCAGGTGACTGTATGCAATTAGCATGAATTGGCCAATCAAAAGGTGACAAGGTCACGTGATGAGCAAGAAGGACCTGTGTCGTGTCCCATTGCCTTGTAGGATGCCACTGTTGCTAGAGAGATTGTACAGGGAGGATGTGTCAAGGTCTCCAAGAAGGTAGTGGAATTTCTGGGGAGAACCCCCTTGTGGTTCTCTGAAGTTATATACTGAGATAGTATCAACTGGGTCATGTCAGCCATAGAGGCCAGGGACCTGAGGCAGAACCTGGACCCCTCAAAGAGGCACAGGGACCAGTGACTTTATTTTTGCCACCACACTGGGGAATGCATCCAGAAAAACAGCAAGTCAAAATAAACCACTGATAAATTCCAAAGAGACCAAAGCCTTAAAATCAATCAAAAGAAATCTTCCAACTATGTAAACAAATGATCATATTCTCTCGGAACAAGTGCTAGTTCGTTCGATACCCTCCTCCACCCTGACATTTGAGGGGGAGGCAGCTGGCCAGTGTCCAGTGTCCCCAAACTCAGTTCTAGTGCTGATGAAGTGGGTGCCGTGTCACTTCTCTCCTGTACTGGCTCCGAAGTTCTGTTTATTCAACAGGGGGTGTTCTCTTTGTTCCCAGTCTCCTTGGAGCTAGACTAGACGTCTACTGGAGTCTCAGCACTACTCAAGTCCAGGGAGTGTCCAACATTCATGCAAATGGTCTGTCCCAGTTCAGTCCCATTTCCACGGAATGGACCATTAACGCCACCTCTTTCCTTTGTCTCTGTGAAATGTACTGGTGCCCAAATGTGAACTTCCTTGTGTCAGTGTGGAATCAGCACCTTCCTTTAAATGAGACTTCGTTCTGTGATTGTAAGGCACTCACGATGGATGCCTTTTGGCCGGACTGGTCTAGGTAGGGATTTCTATACCTCTTTCCCCCATGCCAGATGTTGCTCTGGATACTGGCAAGGTTGGAGCCCTACTAAAGAAGAGTGATCCATCTGGCTCCATAGTGGCATGCTTAACCTTGGCTTCAGGCACTGAAATGCTCATTTTATGAATCAGGGAGTTTTTCTATGGCTCGGCCTCTATCAGGTCAGTGTTTCGATGACACACCTCTCTGTTTTACCTCCTCATTTCTTTACATCTAGACGTTTTAATTCACCTTTATCGCCATCCTCACAGAGAACAGGCGGCTTCCTTGATGGTGTCCCACCTGCATTCTTCTCGGTGGCAGTATGAGGCTTTGTGAGCTCTTTCTGCTACTTCTTTTTTCCTTCATCATTGCTCTTCAGTCTCAGAGTGAAGTGCTCTCCTTTCACAGCTTTTTTTGATCAGCATTGCATACTGAATACTGTCACCTCATATCATGCAGCGCTGACGGAGCTGCTATATCTTGCGTTTGCTGCCAATACTACCTTGGTATTGTTTAACAGGCTGTCTCATACCTTGTTTCACCTGTGCGGCTCAAGATACAAATTAATTATGAGACTTGTCGGAAGGCTGCAAGACTTTCTGGCACGTGTGTGAAGTACTGGACAAACAAGCCCGACAAATACCAGAGCGAGTGCTGATCCCAGGGCGATGATGGTGATGTAAGACCAGAAGAAGAGTATTGTAACATGATTTTGGGTGAATATATTGAAAGAGTATGGTTGGTTTTGATGCATATTTAACATAGTTTGGATACAGCAGTTGGATGTGATGTCAGAAATGGTACAACAGTGTTGTGATAGGCTGAAATGAGGATGCTTGTTACGTGCTGCTGGTGGAGTCAGGTAGCAGTCCATTCTCACAAGCACTCCCAACATCAAGAAACTATTGTACTAAAGTGCCTTATCGTAAACTATCAGAGGACCTATGAACAGAAAATGGGACATTAGTTCAATTTCGTGAGTCACTACCATTTTCTAGTAAGATTGTTTTTGGCCTTAGTTAAAGTATACGTTAAAATGTGACACGCTATTAGGAGGACGGATTGCAGGCAGGACGTAGTATTGAAGGTGGATGGAAGTGGAGAGCTTGAATGAAGCCAAGAGCAAAGAGCTTGAGCGAGACTGGGGTGGAGAGCTCAAAAGAGGGCAAGAGCAAATAGCTCAAAGGAGGGCAAGAGCAAATAGCTCAAACAAGGGCAAGAGCAGAGAGCTCGAATGAGGGCAGGAGTGGCTGTCTGCTAGACCTGTAGTGTCTGGTGTAGGAGTTGAAAATAGACTGGAAATGCTGATTGATTGATTCATGAAGGTTAAGCCACCCAAGAGGTGGCATGGGCTTGAATAGCCCGTAAGTGGTTCTGGAAATGCTGTGTCTAAAGCCATCTTATATCTGTCATCCTGACCTTGTGTTGGACCCAGTTTGCTCCTCACTTGGTAGGCTGATCATTTGGTCTGATGGGAAGGTCACTGGTTACTTTCGGCTATCCAATGTGATTTGTGGAAGCCTTGGGGATTTGTTATAGGTGTCATTAATGGTTAATGAATATGACTGCAAGTGTCATTATCAATTATGAGAATTAATGGGAACCAGTAAGTAGTTACAATAAAGAATCTGGGAAAATGTGGTACAGGTACATTATATGTAATGTGATTGCTAAAGTATTAACAAGAGTAGTAAGACTTGATTAGCTGTACTTAGCCTCCCCCTTCCCCCTCCAGGTATCGGCAGCTTAATTAGAAGTCCTGATTTTGTCAGTTATTAGGTTATACTGTGGGTACTGGGTGTAGAAGTTCCTGTACCCTGCCAACATGAGTTGCAGGCGACCTGGTCCTGTTCCGATGAGCAAAGAGTACAAGAAGTTCGATGTCTGGATAGAGGGATTAATCGAGGAAGGGGAAGGGTCCATTATCTGACCATCCACTCTACTCCACTCTGCTTGGGGGAGGAGAGAGGGGGTGGCATACCTGTGGTTAGTGGTTCCTCCTGGATTAGGACTAGAGTCCCTCTGTTACTAAGACGAGGAACATGTCACTACATAATCTACACCAAATCAAATCAAATCAAATGTTTATTCAGGTAAAAGTACATAATTTGTACATAATTTTTAAAAGTACATAATTTGTAACTCATACAAGATGAGTTACAAATATAATGCTGGATTTCTAGATAAAGCTAGTACATACAATGCCTAAAGTCACTAATACGCACAGCGTTTCGGGCAATTCAATCCATGTCAGGCCCTTGTGAGTTAAACAAATCTACTTGGGACCAAAGGTGAAAACCTGGCCTCCCTCTAGGGAGGTGCAAGGAGCAAGGAACTGTAAATCTCCCTAACCAAGAAAAGTCTACCAAAAAGTTGGGCAAATCAAAACAGACAACAGCAAGGTAAACAAACCATAGAAAATGGGACAACGGGGCCTCAAGACTCGTGGACCATTCAGTGGTGAAGCACTTCTAATGTTAGTTAGTAGGGAACTTTCTGACTGACAGGCCAAAACACTGCATTTTCCAATTAGTCAGTACCTGCCTTCTGATGTGTCAAACACCTCATATATGATCAACTCCTAGAACAGTAGCAACACCAAAAATTATTTAAGATGCCACCAGCCAGTCTGCCATCTTACCCTCATATTCTAACACTTTCTCCCGACTCTGCAAGAACATACTGACATTGCATAATTGATTCTCCTACAGTGTATCAGTATACAGCTCATCATTTTCTTTGCTGCACAAGTTCAAATAATATTAACAGTTACATCCCCCACAACAGAAGGTCCACTGAAAATGGGCATAAAGTACTGTATAATTAATTATAATAGGAAATTTGGTTGGAAGAGGCTGCATATTAAGGAATTGTTGGAGAAAGTTATGGAATAATTTCTTTCATCCATCATTAATACAGCCCATGGATCATTACATCATTTGCAGCTTCAAGGCATACTAGCAGCCCACAATAATGAATGTGCTCAAATTAATGACAATCACATTGGAAATGTTGCCTGAACTTTGTGTCCATCTCTGCTTTTCAGAAATGCCACTGGCCTCGTAACCGAAATGAATGAGAGATGCCACTGGCCCCATAACCAAAGATGCGAGATACCACTGGCCCCGTAACCGAAATGAACGAGAGATGCTACTGGCCCCATAACCAAATGGATGCAAGATGCCATTGGCCCCGTAACCAAATGGATACGAGATGCCACTGGCCCCGTAACCAAATGGATACGAGATGCCACTGGCCCCGTAACCAAATGAACACATTTGAACACATTTATTCTAGACAGGAAGATTGTACACTCAAGAACTTGTGCATTGTCTACTATTGTACCTGGTTGATACCTGGTTGATGGGGTTCTGGGAGTTCTTCTACTCCCCAAGCCCGGCCCGAGGCCAGGCTTGACTTGTGAGAGTTTGGTCCACCAGGCTGTTGCTTGGAGCGGCCCGCAGGCCCACATACCCACCCGGTCACATACCCGGTTGGTCCGGCACTCCTTGGAGGAATAAATCTAGTTTCCTCTTGAAAATGTCCACGGTTGTTCCGGCAATATTTCTTATGCTTGCTGGGAGGACGTTGAACAACCGCGGACCTCTGATGTTTATACAGTGTTCTCTGATTGTGCCTATGGCACCTCTGCTCTTCACT